ATCGCAGCTCCAACATAAACGTATGTACCTTAACACAAAGCATTCGAATCAATAGACAAATGTTAACAAGTTAAAGTGCCATCTCGGTCATATATGGATGACACTGATTTCTGACCAGATTTAGGAATTCATTATTATTGCGAAACATTCGAATAGAATGACCTTTATTAGGACTTTTGGAATGCGAACGAGTTGAGGCAGTCTCCATTATAACACACTTTAACTTTCCAGTTTCTAAAAGACGACATACTTAGCACCTAGTTACGGTGTTTTAGCTACTCCGATAAAATTAATTGAGCACAACGCCTGCTTGCAGGTGATGTACTGATATACCCATTACGATCGTAATAAAATAAGCTGAAGACCATTCGGTATTACTAACCTGTGAACACAGAACAGGTATTACAGATCAGTAGATTATGTTCGGAATTTCCATAACGCGTCTGAGACGATGCAAAGGATTATCCTTTTCTTATAATTTAGATAAAATAACGCAACTAGTGAAGACTGTTTTATAATCATAATAATTAATAATAATATAATAATTAATAATAATAATAATAAAATTGGTTTTATTTAAGCCTTCTACGATTTCGATTATAATATACGCTTAAATAAGATCAGGAAACCCTTTCGATGTTTATTTCGTGAACTTGTCAAGAAGGAAAAAAAGTTTGCATTTGTTGCGAAAATAAAATTTAGATAAAACAAAACTAGAACCCTCTACGAGGATAAAGAGATAAGTACAAAGCATATGTAAACAGACGACAGAACACACGATTCTAACATCGATTTTAACAAACGTGCGCAGCTTAGGCGGTCCTTATTTTTCGACTTTTGATTTCTCCTAATTTTATCGCTTTTTAAATTATGACACTTTGTGAGAAAATTATGTGTGCAAAATTGTGTGCATTAATGTTATGTGTTCGGTTAACAGAAACCCGGGGACGCATTTCCGTTAAATTTTGAAAATGTTGAAGTTAAAATATTAATGATTTAATTTCATTTTCACACATAACTGTATTTCGTAATTTTAGAAATAATGTTAAACGTTTTTGACCAAAAGATAACGTCTTTTGTTACAATTTGCAACAATGTCAAGTGTTACCTGTAAAAATGTATACAAAATCTTTGAATTTGATTTACCAGTAAATACAGTTTACGATACAAAATCTGACAAGTGGTGTAATACATATATTGTGCCTGGGCATAGTGTTATTGATGAAATTTCTATGAAAGGTACTTTTCGGAAAAACATTTCACACGTATTTTCTGTTATCGGCCATCATCGATGTTGGAAAGGTGAAAGCAGCCCTTAGAGTTAAGGATAAAAAGTACATTTACGATACGTACAGTTACGATGTTGCACGTGTCGCAATAAGGTGTCGGACTTTTCTCGGTGAGAAATTTGTGGGTAATTCATGCGCGGTCAATAATGATTCTGTTATTTCCATTCGAAAACGTTGAACAACATTCATATTCGGTGGATTACATTCGAAATCATAATAACAAGTCCGACACGTTATTATATCGCAAGGGGCAGACAAATCCCATCGGAACAAAATGTTTCGAAACAATAGTAGCTGAAGCGTGATCGAGGCAAAGTAGAGCAAATGTTGTTCAGGCTAACGAATAAGTTGAATTATTTGTCATTCACGGACAAAACGTAAATGAAGTTATTCGTCATTCGCGCGAATAATAAATAAATCTAACATCGAACAAACTCTCTGAAAATAAAAAGAATTAAATAAGATAAAATATTTTTCATCGAGAATGCCGAAGAACTACGAAACAAAATAGATCAAGGCGTCCAACAAATTCGAGAAACGCCAGAAACGATAGAGGGCGTAACCAGATCAATGATAAGAAACGTGCAGGTTTGTCGTCAAATGGCAAGATAATTCAAACAGAACGTACATTATACAGGGTGTCCCAGGTTTTAATGTTCAAACTTTGTCAGTATATTCTATGGCACAAAGTAAGAAAAAAATGTTATGTAAACATAGGTCATCTAGAGCTTTATTAAGAAGTTATAACAAAAATTCAGAATAGAAATAGTAATCAACTTGCTGTTACTGCGAGCATTGGCTTGTGAATACATACATTTCGAAACGTATTAATAACCGTTGTTGACAATACATGATTGACATCGATCGAAGATTTTTTTTTATTTTTTAATTTTTATTTCTTTTTTTTTAGTTGATTACTATTCTTTTTCTGAATTTTTGTTATAACTTCTTAATAAAGCTCTAGATGACCTATGTTTACATAACATTTTTTTCTTACTTTGTGCCATAGAATATACTGACAAAGTTTGAACATTAAAACCTGGGACACCCTGTATAATGTACGGTCTGTTTAAATTATCTTGCCATTTGACGACAAACCTGCACGTTTCTTATCATTGATCCTGTCTCTTATACACATCTAGATGTGTATAAGAGACAGGCTCTAGATGACCTATGTTTACATAACATTTTTTTCTTACTTTGTGCCATAGAATATACTGACAAAGTTTGAACATTAAAACCTGGGACACCCTGTATAATGTACGGTCTGTTTAAATTATCTTGCCATTTGACGACAAACCTGCACGTTTCTTATCATTGATCCTGTCTCTTATACACATCTAGATGTGTATAAGAGACAGGCTCTAGATGACCTATGTTTACATAACATTTTTTTCTTACTTTGTGCCATAGAATATACTGACAAAGTTTGAACATTAAAACCTGGGACACCCTGTATAATGTACGGTCTGTTTAAATTATCTTGCCATTTGACGACAAACCTGCACGTTTCTTATCATTGATCCTGTCTCTTATACACATCTAGATGTGTATAAGAGACAGGCTCTAGATGACCTATGTTTACATAACATTTTTTTCTTACTTTGTGCCATAGAATATACTGACAAAGTTTGAACATTAAAACCTGGGACACCCTGTATAATGTACGGTCTGTTTAAATTATCTTGCCATTTGACGACAAACCTGCACGTTTCTTATCATTGATCCTGTCTCTTATACACATCTAGATGTGTATAAGAGACAGGCTCTAGATGACCTATGTTTACATAACATTTTTTTCTTACTTTGTGCCATAGAATATACTGACAAAGTTTGAACATTAAAACCTGGGACACCCTGTATAATGTACGGTCTGTTTAAATTATCTTGCCATTTGACGACAAACCTGCACGTTTCTTATCATTGATCCTGTCTCTTATACACATCTAGATGTGTATAAGAGACAGGCTCTAGATGACCTATGTTTACATAACATTTTTTTCTTACTTTGTGCCATAGAATATACTGACAAAGTTTGAACATTAAAACCTGGGACACCCTGTATAATGTACGGTCTGTTTAAATTATCTTGCCATTTGACGACAAACCTGCACGTTTCTTATCATTGATCCTGTCTCTTATACACATCTAGATGTGTATAAGAGACAGGCTCTAGATGACCTATGTTTACATAACATTTTTTTCTTACTTTGTGCCATAGAATATACTGACAAAGTTTGAACATTAAAACCTGGGACACCCTGTATAATGTACGGTCTGTTTAAATTATCTTGCCATTTGACGACAAACCTGCACGTTTCTTATCATTGATCCTGTCTCTTATACACATCTAGATGTGTATAAGAGACAGGCTCTAGATGACCTATGTTTACATAACATTTTTTTCTTACTTTGTGCCATAGAATATACTGACAAAGTTTGAACATTAAAACCTGGGACACCCTGTATAATGTACGGTCTGTTTAAATTATCTTGCCATTTGACGACAAACCTGCACGTTTCTTATCATTGATCCTGTCTCTTATACACATCTAGATGTGTATAAGAGACAGGCTCTAGATGACCTATGTTTACATAACATTTTTTTCTTACTTTGTGCCATAGAATATACTGACAAAGTTTGAACATTAAAACCTGGGACACCCTGTATAATGTACGGTCTGTTTAAATTATCTTGCCATTTGACGACAAACCTGCACGTTTCTTATCATTGATCCTGTCTCTTATACACATCTAGATGTGTATAAGAGACAGGCTCTAGATGACCTATGTTTACATAACATTTTTTTCTTACTTTGTGCCATAGAATATACTGACAAAGTTTGAACATTAAAACCTGGGACACCCTGTATAATGTACGGTCTGTTTAAATTATCTTGCCATTTGACGACAAACCTGCACGTTTCTTATCATTGATCCTGTCTCTTATACACATCTAGATGTGTATAAGAGACAGGCTCTAGATGACCTATGTTTACATAACATTTTTTTCTTACTTTGTGCCATAGAATATACTGACAAAGTTTGAACATTAAAACCTGTCTCTTATACACATCTAGATGTGTATAAGAGACAGGTGCCATAGAATACACTAACAAAGTTTGGACATTAAAACCTGGAATACCCTTTACATCATAAACGAAGGCAGATTGGACATGTGTCTGTACGTATTTTTCTCCATTATTTTTCAACGTACGATCGTCTCTCGAATCGGGGGCCCACATATTGTGAAACGTCCTGTACGATAACATAAATACCGTAAATGGCATAAGCTAGTGTTGTTGACCGCATTCGTCCATGGTCGAACGCGGGCGAATAAGGACACGGCGAACAATAAATAACGAACGAAGGTTCGCGAAACGAATAATGAATAACTGGAACAGCGAATGACCGAATAACGATGAATTATTTATCCGTCACTTTGATTCAAATACAATTTTATTCGAATAACGCCCAGCACTGGGTCGAGGGAGTTTCGAACGAGCGCGTGGGAGAAATCGCACGGCGAGAGGTCGACTTCCGGGGGTGGAAAGCGCATGCACAGAAACATGGCGTCTCCGTCGGGGTAGATTGTCGAGTGTACGGCGGACTGGTGGGGTTTGGCGGGGTTTCGCGGGGTTTGTCGGATCGATAGCGCGCATGAGGGGTGCGCGAACACCTACGAGTACGTCGGTGATCGTGACGACATAGCCGCCACCGTGAGTCGAGTATCCGGCGAGTATTCCCCGATGTCAATAGCGTACGTGCGTCCCAGTGACGAACACCGGGTTCGGTAGCTCGTCGACGAGAGCTGGGATCGGGTCGGGTCGGGTCGGGCCGTGCCGTGTCGTGTGTGTCCACCGCGCGGGTATCCGATCGGGATGCCGGCCGGTTTCCGTTCCTCCGATCGCTGTCATCGCTCCGGCCGCGTTCATCCCCTTCGAAGCGACAGCAATCCGCTCTGAACAAGGAGCGAGCGCGGATACGAAACGCGAGTGACTCTGATGCGAGAGCTTGTGTTCGGGCTGGTATCGCGCGGAAATACCGCCGAAGCCGAGGCCAAAGCCGGAATCGGAGCCGGCATGCCATCGACTTGAGAGCTAGTGATATGTCCGTGATGTCTCGAGGCTCGCCCTGGTGCCTGGCCGCACCGGGGCCCAACAAATTCCCAAAGCTTCTCCTGATCGTCGCCGCTGTCCTCGTCGGCTTCCAACCGCCAGGCGTCGTCGGCGAGAAGAGCAAGAAATGTGAGTAACGCTCTTCTTTTCTCTCTTCGTGACTGCTCTAGCTGCGCGCAGGTAAAACTGTGATAAAATACAAGGTTGTTTCTCGGCATGAAATGCTGTTTGAATGTTTCTCGGGTCATGCGCTCCGGCGAACGCTTCCCGAATTTCCTGCGACTCGCCGGAAGCGTTCGACGCTTTTTCGAATAATTCTCGTTCTTTCGAACGAACGATCGATCGCGAAGAAAATCCCAAAATCAATTTGATCCCCGCTACCCTGGATTCCGATGTGGACGCTCGCGCTCTCCCTTCGCTCTTCCAATTTGCTTGCCGTAGCGTATGGTCAGAGTGCGCCAAAACGTTTCTAGCTCTTCGCGAAGCAAACTGCTGTACGTGTATCGTGCCGTTAGTACTGCTGCCTGTATCACGCTCCTAAGACCACGTGGGAAAAATGCGAAACAACAGTCGCGCGGATGAAAAATATATTAATGATCGGGGGGGAAGGTTTGTCCCGCCGATTATCGCCGAATCGTTCTTTCGGATCGCGAACAGAATAAAATCGCCCGGTTACAGTAAGATCAACGCATCGATTTCGCCACGGACGAGTTCGCCAGCCGAGCCGTTCCCGGTACTTTCGTTTTTTTCTTTTTCTCCTTTTTCTCGTAACGCGGAAACTTTTGTCAACGCGCAAAACGCGGTCGAGAGCCTCTTCATTGTTGGCCCATCTCCTTTACTCTCCGCGTATCTGGTTCGCCGGCCCCGTTCGGCGGTTTGTTGAAACGAATTGGGCCAATTCGTGGATGAAGCGCATTCTTCGGTTTGACGCTACCCCCGATGTCCTAATTCCGTTACAACGATCCCCGAGCGCACGGGAACGTCCGTGTGTCCGTGTGCCGTCCGCGTTTGTCCGGGATCGTCGGCCCGACGCGAATGCTCGCGGAACGATGAACGATTTTTCGCGGCGAGATCGCGGGGGCCGTCGGCTACAGGTGCCGGTAAACGATCGGACTGTCATGCGAAAATTACTGCGATCGCGGCGAAGTTGCCGGATCAACGTTAATTGTTTGCCGGAGCGGTGGTAGGCGGCAGGAAGATTACCGCGTCGCCGTGGCCAGCGTACGACGAACGTGACGCGGGCCGATAAACGAAGCTAATTACGACAGTCAAATTAGCTCTCGGCCGAGCAGCCATACCGCACTGATTTCGCGATGACGCGTGATCGATCGATGCCCGCCGATATCGTCGATCAAAACGTACGCGTGTCGTAATTACGTTCGCCGGCCGGTTGTCGGCGCCGAGCCGCGCGCCGCTGCCACCGGGGGAAAGAAACACTGGCCATTTCGCACGCTTACGTTACACATTTCCTGCCGAACACCGGCATCTCCGAGCGTTTAATTGCGCAGCCGATGGCGGTATCATAAGCGTCGTATAGTTGTAAAGCCGATGTAGGCTTTTAAACTCTACTCAGAGATTAAACTACATTCGAGAGAGAGAGAGAGAGAGAGACCGCCTTTAAGCACGGCTTAGACTTTAAGCTTCGCCGGAGAACCTATGGGCGAATAGTTTTGATTGGTAATAGACCAGGAGGAACATGGCCAGCAACAAATTCGGCGCGAAGACGGGGTCAGCACGCGGCCGAGTCTCCGCGTAACGGAGTTAACGGGTCCAATGAATTTATTATTGTCGCAGCCGGTGTCCGAATAATCGACGAACCCCCTCCGCGAACGGGACAATGCGAGGCCATCGTGGAAGCGAGGCCCCGAAATTTCCTGGAAAATTGCGCGGGCTATCTTATCGTTCGGTTCGCGTCAAATCTTTTCCTATAATCCTCTTTTTCGCTGAGTCGGCCGGAGAACAGTCTACGTTTAAGGGTTGAAAATGTTGGTTTTGCAGAGATAAGGGAGCCCGACTTTGGGCACCACTCTCCACCTTTATGCCGCGAAAGCGGTTTTATTTATGGCGGGGCTCGTATGTTGTGGCCCGGGGGGAACATCGAAATTCATTTTCTATTCACCGATAAGCACCTTAAAGGGTCGCTTATAGCTATTTTCTTTCAACTCTTCTTACACTAGAGCCGTGAAAGTGACGTTCGGATAAATGAGAAATTTTTCAGGATGGCGCCAGGATAATGGATTTCTTTCTTATTTTCGATCTCGCGACACGCTGTCGCCCGTAACGCAGCCGTATGCTTGATAAATTCTGGGATTTCCAGTAAAAAAGAAAACAGACGAAATTACAACGCCGCCGGCGATCGAGACAGAGGAACCAACCTCGAATCGGCTTTCAGCCCGGAATTCGCTCGTATGAAAAACCTTTCGGACGATCGCGTACTTATCATCGTTTCACGGCGCACTTGGTGCGTAGACGATTCCTCTTCCGCGGAGGGGCGAACATCGTCGGCGGTGGCGTACTCCTGTTTCTTATGTCCTCCCCGTTCCGCGGTCTTCTCGAACTTTCGCGGCAATCCTTGTCACTGTCTGGCGGCTTGATTTCTTGCTAAACTCTCCCGGCAAGAAACTTCGCGTCCGGAAACGAGTGACTCGTTCTCTCCCCATTTACTTATCCGTCGGGATGGCCGGTCCAGGTCCGGGCTCTCCGTCAACGGCGACCACGGTTCTTCGACTTGGCAAAATTCCACTCAATTTCCGTGGTATTCACGGGCGGCCGACAGCCCGAAATTCTTCGGGAAACGTCAGATTATGATTGCCAATCGTCCGGCTTGATTTTTCGAGCATCGTTCGAGCCTTCGACACGCTCGACTTTTGCAGGGAATGAGACTAACTCGCGATGAAGATTTCATGTACGATTTACTAAATACGAATGCGTATTCGTTTCTTCTGAATCGAAGCAATATTCGACTCTTCTGTTATCGAAGTCCTAGGAACGAAAGCGCACGAGAATATGCAACTACTACAAGTACCGAAGACGTACAAGCAAGCAAAAACATATTTAGAAATTAATTTACCGTCCTAAAATGATATTTATATTTAGCTGTTTCGGAATTAATGACACTTTGATTGAATATTCTATATATTTTACCAGTTCAATAGACATATTAATCACAAAACTGAACAATACGTTAAGTGTTCAAAACTTGAACTCTTTCGCTTCGATATATTTTCGAAGCCTATTTCGAAAATTATCGATGATTGTCATACACTCGGCTATTGTAATTTCGTCCCACGCATTTTGTAAAAAGCTGATGTTAATTAATTCGACTTGAATACTTAATGGGAGATCTTCTAACTTCAATAACAATAATTCAAATTCTTTTCTGTTTTGTTTTAACGCCTCCTCTACCTTCTTTTTCCCGTATCCGGTAGCCGTGACAATGTCAGCGTTCTTCATTCCTCCTTTGGGCAGTTCAATAATTATTACCCTTTCTTTATAGCTTTTCATTTTTAAACTCTAAAGAAGGTATAAACGTCCACAAATGGTACTATTAGATGTGAAAAAAATACAAAGAATTCGAGAAACAAAATCGATTTTGAAAGAAGCGTCTTTCACGAAGGGACAGATCTGCCTCCGCACCCTATAGACGAAAAATATTGCGCGCTTTCCAGGGTTAGCGCTGGATTTTCTATCGAAATGCTAAAAGCAAATAGTTTGCAAAAATACGTTCAACCAAATGCTGCCATATTTTGATTAATAAAATATTCAGAAATATATATGGGTTGGCAACTAAGTAATTGCCGATTTGTTCAATGAAATAAAAATTTTCTTTTTACTTGGAACGAAGTTTAACCTGTAATGTATTTTCCATTTTGTTCGATGACCTTCCGCCATCTCTCTGACAACTTGAAAATTCCACGCTCGTAGAAAGTCTGATCCTTTTCGGCCAAAAACTGAGTTAAGTGAGATTTTACAGCGTCATCGTCATTAAAAGTTTTACCATGAAGGGAGTTGTCCAGGGATTGAAATAAGTGGTAATCCGATGGCGCGAGATCGGGGCTATATGGTGGGTGTAACATCAATTCCCAACCAATATCCATCAATTTTTGCCGAGTAGACAAAGACGTGTGCGGCCTAGCATTGTCCTGCTGGAAAATGACACCTTTACGATCGACCAATTCTGGTCGATTTTCCTTGACCGCTGCATTCAATTTGTCCAGTTGCTAACATTCACGGATAATAAAAAATAACATAATAATAATAATAATAATAATTTTATAATATAACATTTACGGATATCATAAAAATGGGAGTGAGAGACATCTATAACTGGAATCGGCAATTACTTAGTTGCCAACCCAATATTTGCTTTTAGCGTTTATATATATAGCGTTTATATATATATATATATATATATATATATATATATATATATATATATATATGTTTAAAATATCAGAAACTGGTAATTTCGACCGATTTGGTACTTCTATGGTCAAGTGGTCCATTTAATTCTGCGCATTCACGAGGTTTGGTAACATTTGAAGTTATTGCATATAAAATGCTTCTCCCATAACATTGTCGAGAGCGCGATTGTCCCAGGTAAATGCGCCGTAAAGGCCGAGGATCCGCGGCGGTACATACTTTGTGCCGCGATATAGATTGAGGGTTTTCGTAGCCCGAAGAGTTTCGTTAAATTGAAAGCCCGCCGTTCGTAAGTTGGAGTGGCGGCTTCCTATCGTTATGTCGAAATGTTGCGGGGGAATTACTAACAGGGCTCGATTGGTAGTAGCACCGGCGGTGCCTCACCTGTCGCTTTCTCGGTTTCCTCTCTTTGTGCGGCAGCCACCTCAATTACCGATGCTCTCCGTATCGGTAACTTCGAGACGGCCAATCTGCCTCGACCAATCAATTCCGACGAATGTTTGAACTTTATATAGAAAATCCGCGGAAATTCCGGCGACCGGGCTCGTTCGTTAGCTTTTTCGAGCCCTCCCCGGATTTATCTCTCCGAACGATGCCCGCGAACTTTTCTTTTCAATTCCTTTCAACGGCATTTTGCGGGACTTATTGCCATAAATCAGCATCGATATTCCTTTCGTATCGGGGCGGGCATGCCCGCCGGTAACTCA